TGTAATCTAATGAGAAATTATAAGTTCTGGGTTTTCCAGATAAAATTACTATTCTGCTAGCTTAAGTTAGCTTAAGGCAAAGGTGGTTTAAAGATCAAGTGAAGGCCTGTAGGAGTTACCCAGGAGCAGATATAGATAGCGATCATAACTTAGTTATGTAGTTACGAAGAGTTACTTAGTAGTAGTTATGAAGACCAATCTTAAATTGAAAATTCTGGAAAAGTTGAAAGGTACGAGACGTCTTGACTTAGAAAAGCTAACATGTAACGAAATACGTGATAGGCTAGGTAAAATGACAGACGAAATAGTAAAGGCGGCGGGAGAAAGAAATGATAGGCACATAGAGACAAACTGGAACTGAATTAAAACATTCCTAAAAGTCAGCAGCTAAATATACTAGGTCTTAAACGAAACGAAAGTAGGAAAGAATAATAATAGAAGAAAGGCGGAAATACAAAAACAGGATGGACGAAGAAGGGCAAAAAAGATATAAGGCTATAAAGTGGGAAATAATTAGGAAGTGTAGGGTAGCTAAGGAGGTAGTGGAGGTGTATAGAAGTAGAAGAAAAGTTTGAAGTAAGTAAAACCGATGAGGCGTACCTAACATATAATTAAAAGGAATTTTAGAGATGAAGAATACAGTAGTAATAATATAAGAAACGAGACAAGGGTCATTTTGATGAACTACGCCGGAAGGTAGGGCGGAAGGCCTTCTTAAGCCTCCTTTCAGGAATCGTGGGAAAGGTGGTTCGGCTGAGAAAGATGAGACGGACGAAATGAAGACAGAAGATAATGAAAGATTATCTGTGGAATATGACTGCCCCAACTAAGACTAAGTGATCCAAGGAAACTAAAGAAAAACTTGGACCAAGGCAGACGGACCCGGAATCGACTCGGCCTCCTCCCGAATGCTAAGCAATGGTCTAAACCTCTAGGCCATGCCGCTCGGTGCATTTACATTAACCTTTGACACTTCATTCAAAATTGTGCGACATTTGAGGTTTTATGTAGTATAAGTTCTTGATATAGCATAGCAAATAAGTTCTCTGCTGATTAGATAAGAAAAAGGAAAATTCCAATGTATCCTTACATAATGACTTATTAGCTAATTAATCTACCTTGAAAAAAAATTGGAACGGAAGGCCAAACAAAAAAGATGTTTTCTTTTCTCTTGATGAACATGCTAAATTACTTATCTATCCAAGAAAACTTCACTTCCAAGCTAAGAAGCTGTGAAAAGTTGTATAACTACTAGAGGAGAAAATACACATGTGGTCGCAGGCATCATTTACGTTTTCCTGCTTAATAAAATTAACAAACTGAAGATTTATTGGGTTGTATTTAAATTAAAAAGTACAATTGTGTGGCCCATTTTTGTCCCATGCAAAAATAAAATCTGGCTACGTCTCTGCTTCTATAAACAATATAAAAGCGAATTCGAATTCGGGCATCTCGCATTTCAGAGACGCTAGTGAAGCGCTACAGTTTCCAGTGCGTGGTTTGTACTTTGACAATTTCGCGATTTGATTTTCTTCTATAATTTAAATATGACCAGATCAACAGAGGCTTTTATTGGTAAGTAAATTATTTTCAATTAATTTAATATAATGGAATACCAATACCTTTTAATATTACATCTATTCCATAAAAACTTTTTGGGGGTCATTATAGATACTCAGTAAGGTGGTTTCGTCTACATTTAACGAATAATATTTCTCTGAGTATTTTTTCTTAGTATGCGCAAGAAATTTAGAATTTTCACAAATTTTATTCATTTTATTGAACTGACGATTAGTATTTTTCCTTTTTTTTTATTTTCGCCAAATTTAATGCTACATTACTCTTTTAAATTGCCTTAACTACAATAATTTTGTACCTAAATTAATTAAATTAAACTTTGATATTCAAAAGCGTTAACCAAATGAAACCCTTTTTTAATCTCCTTTAATAATGACGCTTGTCCTGAATAACTGACTGGCTGACTAAATGATGCTCAACGCAGAGTCAAAACTACTGGGTTGATTTGACAGCATCTTCTGACTATTACATAGGACCGTACTTAGCACGAATTTTGCGAAAATCGAATTCGAAGGGGTTGAGGTGTGAAAGATAACAAAATTCTAAGAGTGATATGTTTTTCGTTTTTTCATTAGAATACTATTTGTTTAGTTCATCATCATCATAAGGTCGTCAGTTCTAAGACTGTTGGACACGTACCTCCCTCTTTCCTATCCTGAGCTAAACTTCGCATTTCCCTAAAACTAGAACAACCCACATCCTTAACTATCTGTAAACAGTAATCTTATCTAGGTCTACCTCTACCCCTCCTAACTTCCGTTTCTGCTTCTAATATGTCTCTGACTAGAACTTCATGTCTGAGAAGATGTCATACTAACCTATCTCGCCTATTTCTTACTGACTTCAATAGGGTCCTCTGTTCTCTTACTCTTTCGAATACCTCTTTATTTCTAACTTTTTCTATCCACTGTATCCTCATCATTCGTCTGTAACACCACAACGCTTCTAATCTTTTCTTTTCCACCGCGCCCACTGTCCATGTTTCGCACCCGTACAGCGCTGTGCTTCAAACATACACCTTTAACAACCTTTTTCGAATTTCTAAATTAACCGTTCGCGAGCGTAGTACAAGCGATATTAAATGATTATCACTAGAGTTGGGATCTTTATGCACAAGCTTTAAATATGTTATTTATCTTAGATTTCTTTAGACTTATAAGAGACTACAACTTATTATTATAGAATTGTTTCTGTAAAATCCAGTGGTGTAGACAAATTTTTTTACAGTACCTTTCGTTATTTAGTCATGGCGCAAACATATGTGTTGTTAAACCGAACACCCTGTATATTATTAAATATTANTGATAACCATAATTTAAACTATTTAAATTAAAAAGTACAATTGTGTGGCCCATTTTTGTCCCATGCAAAAATAAAATCTGGCTACGTCTCTGCTTCTATAAACAATATAAAAGCGAATTCGAATTCGGGCATCTCGCATTTCAGAGACGCTAGTGAAGCGCTACAGTTTCCAGTGCGTGGTTTGTACTTTGACAATTTCGCGATTTGATTTTCTTCTATAATTTAAATATGACCAGATCAACAGAGGCTTTTATTGGTAAGTAAATTATTTTCAATTAATTTAATATAATGGAATACAAATACCTTTTAATATTACATCTATTCCATAAAAACTTTTTGGGGGTCATTATAGATACTCAGTAAGGTGGTTTTGTCTACATTTAACGAATAATATTTCTCTGAGTATTTTTTCTTAGTATGCGCAAGAAATTTAGAATTTTCACAAATTTTATTCATTTTATTGAACTGACGATTAGTATTTTTCCTTTTTTTTTATTTTCGCCAAATTTAATGCTACATTACTCTTTTAAATTGCCTTAACTACAATAATTTTGTACCTAAATTAATTAAATTAAACTTTGATATTCAAAAGCGTTAACCAAATGAAACCCTTTTTTAATCTCCTTTAATAATGACGCTTGTCCTGAATAACTGACTGGCTGACTAAATGATGCTCAACGCAGAGTCAAAACTACTGGGTTGATTTGACAGCATCTTCTGACTATTACATAGGACCGTACTTAGCACGAATTTTGCGAAAATCGAATTCGAAGGGGTTGAGGTGTGAAAGATAACAAAATTCTAAGAGTGATATGTTTTTCGTTTTTTCATTAGAATACTATTTGTTTAGTTCATCATCATCATAAGGTCGTCAGTTCTAAGACTGTTGGACACGTACCTCCCTCTTTCCTATCCTGAGCTAAACTTCGCATTTCCCTAAAACTAGAACAACCCACATCCTTAACTATCTGTAAACAGTAATCTTATCTAGGTCTACCTCTACCCCTCCTAACTTCCGTTTCTGCTTCTAATATGTCTCTGACTAGAACTTCATGTCTGAGAAGATGTCATACTAACCTATCTCGCCTATTTCTTACTGACTTCAATAGGGTCCTCTGTTCTCTTACTCTTTCGAATACCTCTTTATTTCTAACTTTTTCTATCCACTGTATCCTCATCATTCGTCTGTAACACCACAACGCTTCTAATCTTTTCTTTTCCACCGCGCCCACTGTCCATGTTTCGCACCCGTACAGCGCTGTGCTTCAAACATACACCTTTAACAACCTTTTTCGAATTTCTAAATTAACCGTTCGCGAGCGTAGTACAAGCGATATTAAATGATTATCACTAGAGTTGGGATCTTTATGCACAAGCTTTAAATATGTTATTTATCTTAGATTTCTTTAGACTTATAAGAGACTACAACTTATTATTATAGAATTGTTTCTGTAAAATCCAGTGGTGTAGACAAATTTTTTTACAGTACCTTTCGTTATTTAGTCATGGCGCAAACATATGTGTTGTTAAACCGAACNTCCTAAACATAAATTTAATTATAATAATTTCTAAGTTTGTATAAATAAATAGTTTCGTATGATCGTGTTCAATTAGTAGGTGGTAGACTATGGCTTAAATTTATTAAAAACAAAATTCATAAAAGTAATTGTTATACTAGGGATATAATACTTTTAAACTAAATTCAGAAGATCTTTTTCAATGCTGAATTTAATTATCGATTGCGGTATTTTAACTGATAAGATTATTGAATTTCACACAATGAAAACAGAACATTACCTAACTTATTAAAGCTAGAAAAAACAAAACAGAAGAGAAATTAACAGTGATTTTAAAATAATAACGGTCATTTTCCAGTTCACATTTTCGTTATTCTTCTAATAGCGTTCAAATGCGTCAGAGGCCTTTGCAAATTTCTAAATGTTAAGTCAAATGCTGCACGAAGTTCCGTTCCACTGTTTTCTATGTTTTATTTTGCATGAAATCTCAAAAGACAAAATTCAAAATTAAAAAAAATCCAGAGGTCGAATGGTTCATCTTAATACAGGTCCGCAAGTATCAACCCAACTTTCAGGAAAGTTATTATTTAAAAATACCATTAAGAGCGCTGTTGTGAGCATGTGAGAGTTGTGTCTTGGGACACCGTCTTGTTGAAAATGAACGGCATTATAAAACGCTAATGAAAAATTTCGCATCAGTTCTGGAATAACTTCCTCAAGGTTGTCTCGGTACTGACGTGCTATAGAACCCTTTTCAAAACTTCTGTGGACTACACGTTGTTGGGGCGCAATTCATGATGCGTTTTTGAGCAACGAAGACATTTTTGTTATTAGCAGTGTTAAATTTAGAAGAACGTGCCTGCAACAAACAAACAAACGTTATCATTATAGTATGTAGGTTTTTCGACGGCAGGTAACGTCCCTTCGCGTTAGTCACAAACAATATTGTGATTGTAGTCACCTAGTCACTAACCATAGCCTAAGGACTTTTGGGTGTTTCATTTCCACTAGCCACTAATGCTGGCGGGCGGGCAGTCCCTCCGGACTACGTGGGAAGGTAGGGCGAAAGCCTCCTTTCAGGAATCGTGAGAATAGGTGGATGGTGGTTGGAGTGAGAAAGATGAGTCGGAAAAAATGAAGACAGAAGAGAATGAAAGATTATCTGTGGAATATTACTGCCGCAGCATTTGCCTAAGTGATTCAAGGAAACCACAGAAAAACTTGGACCAAGGCAGACGGACCTGGAATCGAATCGGCGTCCTTTCGAATGCTAAGCAATGGTCTAAACCTCTAGGCCATGCCGCTCGGTAGCCCAAGGTCAAAAACACCCCACTAATATACCTCCACCCCCTATATTGTGTTGTTATATTTAAGCATTTTTCTATCTAATAAGTTCATTAAGTTCAATCACTTAGTTCAGTCAATCATCTAATCAGTTCAGTTCATCAGTAGGTAGTTCATTCGTTGTAGTTTATCATTTATCATTAAGTATTTTTTTCGGTGTTAGTTTAAGTGTATCCTGTTTATTAAAAAGCTAACAATCACATAAGCTATTTATTGCTCCTTCTAGCATTCCACGAAAACCAGAGGTATAAATTATTTGGCCGTTATATCCTAAAATTTAGACTTCGCTAAATTAATTTTTATCGAAGAAGGTTTAAGCTTTGAGTTGAAGAAAAAACCTAGGTAAGCAACACACCCGCAACAATCAACACACGTCTTCTAAAAATTAAATGCGAAACCCCAATCCCAAAGTGTCTTTGCGGTGTCCTTTCAAAAATTAAATGGTGACTTTCTGTTGATCAATTTCCTGTATCATGATGATTGAAAATACTCGCACTTGAAAAATAAGATTTATTGGAGCAGATGACGAGTCTGCCACAAGATTCGTGTATGGATTTGTTGTAAATACCACCAAGCGAAATGGAGAGTATAGTTCAACATTCGGGAGGACACCGGTTCGATTTCAGATCCGCCTGCCTGGTCCAAATTTTTTTGTGGTTTCCTTGGATGATTTAGGCAAATGCTGAGCTAGCAATTTTCAATAGATAATCCTTCATTAAAGAAAAGAAAATTGCTTTTTTATGTTTCAAAGAGTTTTATTTAAACCTCTACAATTGTTTCGACGTGTTACGTCTTTATCAAGAGTACAATGTTATACTAAAATTGAGAAGGGTCTTACTGCTATATACGAGGGTGGATTGATAAGTTTCCGGCCTAACCAAGAGATGACGCCACTAGGCCTACCTTGAGGTGACATTCTATAGTACCATCCTTGGATAGCTTGTAGCTATAGTTTCAGCCCGATCTCCTTGCTAGTGTAGGTTTGACAGCACGCTGAACAAGACGCCTCTGTGG